ATTGTGAGTGGGCACTGGAGAACTGGAAATAGTTGACACATACCAGGATGTTGGCATTTCTACAGTCTGTGCTTGCCTGGCTACAAGACTGGGGAAGAAAGAAACTCTAAGGTCATTTCTATGAAGTTGAGAAAGCCCGTAGCATTGGCACAGGAGAAAGCAATAGAGTAAATGATCTTTCATAGTTCACAGAAAGGAAAAATAGATGCTCTACTGGCATTTCTAGAACAACAAATTTCCACACGTGCTGCAGTTAGCTATGTGCTAGAGGTAGCAGCAAAAGTAGTGAGCCGTTCTGAGAGAGGCAATCACTGGGGGACTTGGTGCTGCTTTTAATCTACTCTTTTTGGCGATTTTTAAAAATAGATTGACTTGCTGATTAGTGGGGAGGCCACAAGCACAATCTTCAGGAAAACACTCCAGATAGGAAAGGGCCCACTGGCATGGTGGTACAGGTGCTAACACAAATTATGGTGGAGCTAAGCAGAATAGAACTTTACTTAGCAATACATTCCTCTTGCCCCGTGAAAAAGCCTTTTTCTTTCTAGGCCTACACCTATTTACCTCACAGGACATTTCTGCTTACTTCAGGCCTAATCCAAACCTAGGAAAGTCTCAGTATGGCAAATAGTAGGAAAGAGCCCCAAAGGCATGCAAAGATGTGCTTTTCCACTTGCATAATGCCAGCTCTTCTCTCAGTGTCACAGTGAGCTCAGAAAGCAGTGATGTAGATCAGACTTTGGTCTGAGTGGAACAAATACATTTTTTGCTTTGATAGCATCTTGATGACAGTCCTTACAGACTAGAGTTTATACGTTCATAGTTGAGTAAGCACTTAGGACATAAAACAGTAATGCAATTAGAGATTTGCAGAACAGCTCTAATGCTACATGTTAATGAATGTATGTTAGTTTAACAGATACTTCAATATTAGTTTATATCAACACTCTCTCTAAGACAAATATAACCGAAGGCTTACAAGAACTAAGACACACTAGGACACTGACATTATTTCACAAAGATATGAAAGGTTAAGATAAAGGTCATTACAAAACTGTATGTGCTGACCTGCCTTAGTCATTTGCAGAAGAAATGTGTCCAGACATCAACAGGGGAGGTTAATAGAAGCTGTTTAGCTGGGGAAAGCCAGCAGTCAAGTAATATAGTTCATATTTTTGCATATCTATTTTATTTTGCACATAGGACTTTGCAGTATTTTTGCTGTTGTTTCAAATCAGCTCTTCATGCTTAAGCAGCCTACTTGCAGCATGTTCTCCACTGCTATCTGGGAAATAAGAATAATCCACAAGTCAGGCACTTCCAGTACAAGACAGAATGTCTTAGCTGAGTTGTGATGCTCAAAACTCTACTCCAAGTATCTGCATATTTCATTTCCACATTTTTGAGCATATAAAACCTCTAACATGTTCTGGGTCAAAAGCAACTTAGTAATTAAACATAAATAAATAAATAACAACAGAACCAGAACCAACCAAATCAACAGACTTTTCTTAACAAATGTATGTTTGAATACCCTGAAAAAACCCACACTCAGCCATGCCTTTCTGTTTCTTGCACTTTTGATGTGATTGTAATTAAGTTCTGCATATCTTGAGAAGCTGCCGGAGAATTAGACTAATCTATAATTCTTATAAGTTGTCATAGTTCCTCTGAAATCAATGGATATTTTGATAGTTTCCACCAGCTGAGGAATTGCTTTGTGTTCTTAATAAAAGACACGTTGTTCAATTATAGGGAAGTTTAAAAGTCTGCACAGCTCAACAAAAAGCCAACCCTTTGAGCAATAGTCAATTTTTGTTTCTTTAAACTCATTATGAACTCAAGAGTCAAAAGCCATCTTTCTTTCAATAAAGACTGTACAGATCAGATGCCTCTAGCTGAAAGAAATGCTCATATGTATTGTAGCCAACTTCATTTTGCATTGTGGCCTTCGTGCTGCAAGGCAAATTTTGAGAGCGTAAGTCAGGAATGCCCATTAAAGTGCCACCAGAGCACTGTAGTAACAGGTGAGAAATCAGAAGGCAATTAGAGAAAACAAAAGCTCTGCATAACAACAAAATTTCCATCCAAATATTTCCATGAACATTTTCAAGCAGCGCAGAAATGTGAGCAAGAGAGAGATCATAGACTATATACTAATCTAAAAAGTATTTGCATGCTCTGTATCATATCTCTAAGCACAAAATTGAAGGAAATGTATTTTTATTCATTATAATATGTCATGAAGACAAATTTCTTAAAAGCAGGTAGGTGCACAGACACTGCAGTAATAGTACAGTACTGAGAAGAACTGTGAACACCAGAGTCTGGATTTAGCTACCTAAATAGGTGAAGGACACTGAATTTTCAGCAGTTGCCCTTAGTGTAAATGCAGGTGCCCCTTTAAAAAAAACAAAACCTGATTCAAAGTCTTTTTAACATACGCAGAACTAAGCAGAGTCTATGTGAAAGCACTAGGCTTAGAAAAGCAAAACATTTGTTTACATTTGTGTAAGCTCCCAAAAAAATTTGGACAAAACAAAGCAACTGAAGTCTGAAATATAAACAAATCAAAAGCAAACAAACAAACAAAACACACCAAGAAAAACAACACAACACCACCACCATACCAGAGTTATAAGTCAAAAAGGCATGCTTCTGAAAGGTAATACCAGTTTGGGGGCAAAATATAGACACATATAGTTTTACCTACAACTGTAGTTACTGAGATAGAAGGGCTAAGCAATGATGGTTAGCTATAGGTTTCCCTATACATAGGGGAAATGAATCACCTAATAATTAGGTTATTTCCATCAGCTAATGCAAATTCCATGCTGCAGGTAAGTACAGAGAAATGTACACCCTATGGCAAGGATTTCAACATAAATATGGTATCTCATTAATATGGTATTTCATTATTAGAGTTTCCCTCATTTTATTGCCTCTCTCCATCCATACTTAATTTCTGTTTCTTCCCGCTCTATTTCGGTTTTTGGATATTTTCCCCTAAAGCAGAGCATGAAAATAATATCATGATTGGAAGAAAAGTCCTGATAGGATGAGGGGAAATAGCTTTAAATTAAAAGAGGAAAGATTTAGGTTAGATGTTTGGAAAAAATTCTTCAGTCAGAGGGTGGTGAGGTATTGGCACAAGCTGCCCAAAGATGCTGTGGATGCCCCAGTCTGGAGGGATTCAAGGCAAGGCTGAATGAGGCTGTGGGTAGCCTGACCTGGTGAAGGGCAACCTTGCCATTACAGGGATTGGAATTAAATCATCTTGAAGGTCTGCTTCAAGCCAAGCCATTCTATGATTCTACGATCCTAGGGAATGACACCAAAGAAGATTTGTATCTCAGCAAGACAAGTTCTCACTTGATACTCCACTTAAATCACTAAAAAAGTGAACAGATAAGTTCAAAGAGCGACTTTAGCATCTGAATTAAAATACACTCTGACAGTACGCGTAACCACTTGGTTGCTGGCCTGCCGTGGGAACATCTGCAGCAGCAGCTCCACCAGTGTGGCGGCTTCAAAGGGGGAACTGCTGCTTTGCCACATCTGACGGTATCTGAGATGTCCTGTCACACACTCACACCTTGCAGCAATGCCTGGCAGCTCACAGTGATGTCTCTGATACTCTGAGTACAGCCAAGAACCAAAAGTAGACAGGGAGCAAGAGGAACGATCATTGGACTTTCTTCTCACACAACTGTGGCAATGGAATTAGTAATGGGAAGCCCTCACATTTTTGTAGTTTTGAACCAAGTGCACCCAAATTCTTTTTTATGCTGGGAAAAGATTCTCTAACTTGACTCAGAGATCCTGGTTTACTGCCTGACCAAAAACTGCCCATTTACACGGGGCAGAAGGAGACACCTGCTCATCACTCAGGTCCTGTGGGAACTCGCCTCTCAACCTTCCCAACAGTATTTGGAAAAAAAACCCCAAATCCAGAGTCAGCCATAGGTACGAGAGATTTTAAAAGACCCCAGTGCTTGCTTTGTAATTAGAAATTACAGGAAATGACTCAGATATACTTTGAATTTTAATTTTCCCTCAGTTTCTAATTTAGCCAGAAGGAATAAATTAGTCCCTAGTCAGGAATATCTACCATCTTTGAAACCTGGATAATCACAGAGAGTAAACAGCTCGTCAATGCAAAGGTCCCAGCTGAAGGATGTAAACGGGAAAATGCATGGAATACCATTTATTTACACTATTTTGGAAACATGAAAGGTTGAGCTGACCCTTCCATGATTCAAATCTGAGTTTACAGCATCATTCATCATCTCAGAATGGGTTTGTTCCAGTCTCCTTGAACAAAACTATTTTCTCCTCACATTTGCCGCACAGAATTGGCTGAATTTCAATTCTGAGGTGCACGGTACAAAGAACAGTTCTGGAGTGAAAGGTGTCAAGCTGGCAAAAATTGAAAATTAGATTGGTATAAAATCTAATTTTTCTAATATAGGAAGCGTTTAGATTTTCTTCTGTAATATAATTTAACCCTAGAAAGTTGCATAACAATCATGTATCTTGGCAATGGGTACAGGTTTCAACCCTAGCTGGATGAGCTAAAGGATTTTAATAAGAAATTATGCAACAAATATGTGGAATTTGTGTTGCATACAGTAGAAGAAAATGCTTTGCACCTTCAAGCGCTGCACGTTTGCTGGAATCCACCCAGAGGTAGTAGCATCAAGAGCACTTTTTAGCCAGCTTGCTGGGTGACCTTTGCTTGATTTTGGTCACACCACGCTGTTGCACAAAAAAACAACCTCTTATTATGCCAGGTGATCTTACCAGTGACCCAGCAAGAGTACGAACCACAAAATCTTGCAGAACTGTGATCTTCTGGAGCCTCTGCTAGCATTTGAGGATGGGGTGTGCTGCTGGGGGCTCCCCTTGCATACTTGCCTGAAGCATTCTCCTTCCAGAAAAAATGACTCTTTCAACTTTTTTTTTTTTTTTTTTTTTTTTTCTTTCTTTTTTCCTCCCAGTATCCAGGCTTTCAGCTGCAAGCTCCAGGTGTAAAATCAGAAGCTGTGAGCAGTGTTTTCCTCCCGCATTTTGGGCGGGAGGTGGACCAACTGCACAGTGACAGATTATGCAGATCCTCTCGGAGCATCTCATCAATCACGGTGGCGCGAGAGGGACGCGGCTCATCTCCGAACTAGGCTGCGTGGCGGCGGCCTCGCGTGAAGCATCCCCCCGCCGGCGTGACATCAGAGCAGCTCGAGTCCTTGAAAGTCTCGGGGTTGATTAGCAGAGGAACGGGCTGCTCCTGCCAATCACCGCCCCGATACTCGTGGAGATACGAGGCAGAGGGAGGCTGGCTCCGGCAAACGGGAGGCACGGCAGCAGTGGCACTAGTAACAGGAGCAGCTGGTATTCGGGTGATTAAATAGTTCTCGCAGCCTTTTCGCTGCGCTCCGGCTGCTCCTTGGTGTAATCCCCGTGTCCGAGAAGGAAGCTGCATTTTAACGGTGAGCTGAGCAGAGGTTTGAATCGTTCCAGCTGGCTGCTTGTTTGGAAAAGGACAGCCTGTGTATAAATGAGATGTGACTGTGCCGGCAGAGTTCAGTCCCTGGGACTGGAGTGAGAGGAGCCTTCCCGGGATACTCCTCTGACAGCTGCTATCAATTGAAAACTCTCTCTAGCTTACCTGGAGCTGCGTGAGGAGATGTGAATAGAAGACGTCTTTTTCCTGCACACTAGGAAAAGAAATTCTTCTCTAGGTAAGCTGTTCTTCAGCTTCTGCATGTGTTGCTATACACTAGTCTATACTTCTGGGTACGTGTTAAAGGCTACTGATTAGACAGTGTATGTACTCAGAGAAAACTGTTCTTGAAAAGGTATGATATACACAGAGCTTGCAGTTATAGCATGCCTATCACCTATTCATATATAATAAGTGTTTCTGAAAGCTGCTGACAGCCTGGCATTCAAAGGTTTATCAGAAAGTTTGATATCCTTGCCTTCTTTATATGCAATGTCTCAGATGTAAACAGGAGGGAAATAGTTGTTGGGGTAAATATGCAAAAAGAGCACAGAACTTAAAGCACTGGAAGTTAGATGACAAGAGGAAAAAAAGATAAGGTTGCAATTCTTTAGTCTGCTCTATATACTTGGCTTTTGTTTGCCTCCATCTAGCAGTCCATGTTGAACAAAGCAAAGTTGAGCACTAAAATGACAATGTGCAAGCTTGCATGGATATTTAGTAACAATGTACTACTAAAAGTAAGTGTTCTGCAAGGAAGCCAAGATCTGATCTTTTCCAGTAGTTTTGTTTCTAACCACCATCCATCAGCAACATTATTTTAAAATAGTATGATCATTCACGGTTTGGAAGCAGGGAGCATGTCAGGCAGAAAGAAGTAAACCAAAGAAATCAGCATTTATTCTTCAGATTACTACAGTCTGAGCACAGAGGCAGCCCAGCATTTTTAGGTTGCAGCTGGCACATAGGCTTTAAGTCACTGCTGCTGGGAATAAGCGTTCAAAGGAGAATTGTGTGGAGGTGAATAAGTCTCTCCCTACAAGCACTACACTACAGTAACCACACATGCATACAGAAGCCATGATCATTAATTCTGTCTTCCCTGGGGAATTTGCACTGATATTTTTCTTAACCAACTTTTGCAGCTCCTAATTCTGTTGATTAAACCTTCCCTCGCTTTTCATAAATGTTTCCGAATTTGGCCTATCCTGTGTAGGCGGTTGTTCTGCCTTTTCAACCTCAATACTCTGGATGTTATCAGAGCAAATGTAAAATAGAAACAACAAGTAATTTTCTCTCAGTTACTTCAGGAGTTTTTAAATTATGCTCCTTCTGCTACAAGACATTAAACTTGTGGGATAATATCAGAATCTCCCTGCTCATAAAGTTTACATAGTTGGCAATGCTGCCAGGTGCTTCCCTGTCTTGCCCTATCATGTCTGCATACTTTCATCATGCACATTTTACCAGCCAAGATGTGCTGTCTGATTTGCTTTCTGAAATGCTGCTCTAAAGAAGAGAGCAGTGGGAAATGCCAAGTCACATTTAACAAAGGAAATTCTTGGCTCTCAGTTTTCTTCTGAACCTTATCAATCCAGATAATATGATGGGCTCAATTAGATTAGATTTTCCTATTGGCACTCTTCCCTGCAGAAGTTTAAGATTGTGTGTTAGGTTTTTCTACAGTTTCCTCAGAGCATGGCTGTTTTTCTGATTGATAATGAACACTTCATGTCTGAAAGTGTCAGAAATGAAAGCAGGAGTTTCCTGATTTCTTGTTAACATCCATTTTCTATGAGGTTGGAGGAATTATGCTATATATTTCCTTTTATTGGAGTAGATCAAATCAAAGAAGTGTTAACCACAGATCAGCATGCTCAAATCACTGACTACCTGTGCATATATCTGTGTATTTATACATATATATATTTCTGTCTGAACACCCTGTTTACTCTCACTATAAAGTTAGGGAAGCCATTAAAACTTTATGGAGGTCCAGAGGTAGTGATAGCAGCTATATTGCTCTTGGTAGTGGCACTGATCTCCGCTGATTTGGCAGCACAAAGGGAATTGTGAGCTCCTCCGGAGTTCAAATATCATTCAGTATGAGTGCATGCGGAGAGGAAATATGCTAATAGTAAAGATTATTTTTGTGAAGCCATACAGTGTAAGAATTCTTAGAGGTATAATAAGATACTTTAAGGAAAACATGATTACATATTGCAAAATCAGGGCAATACTGTTCAAAGAAAAACTGGTGAGTTACAAGCAAGTCATGACTGAGCTTTCAGTTAAGCAAAAAAATGGCATTTAAACTTTTATACCACCAAAAAAAGTCTCATTTTATTTTTCTATGAGCAATAAAATAAGAATATCATGCTCTCTTAACCAAATCTCTATCTATATGTCATTTCTGTTCCAAGTCTGATTGAGACTTTTTACAAAATTTGTCAGTATTTATGTCCATCAGGCTGGCTGACCTTCAGCTGCATGTATATACTGATGTTTGCTTCCATCAAGCATTGGCTTTGCAAAGCTTTAATAATGTTTCAGCTTCTTAGATGCATCCAGAGATCTACAACCTGTGCCTGCAAAATGGACAGGTCCAAAAAAGAAAAAAAAAAACCAAACCAACCCACTAGGTTATGAGCAAAGAATTTCAAGCTGGAGGCTTGGTGTCCAAAGGAAAGAGTAACTCAGAATTGTGCAGAAAACTCTGATTCCCCAGCCTGCAAAGTCAGAAATGGGACAGTGAGCTAAAGACAAGAGAGGGGTTCTCCACACTTCCATGGTGAGGGGAGCCTGATTGTGAAACAGTCTGCAGTGATTGAGGAGTAAAATATAGAGTGGCAACTGAACAGCTGGGGACCTGAGCAAGGAGCCAGCATTGAGGGATTGAAGTGCAGAAGAGTGGTATCCATGCTGGAATTTACTTGAAGCATTAAGTTAGTGTTCTGTCTCACATTTTGAGAAAGGCTGAAGAATAGTCATATCACAGCAATAAGTCTTTCCTATTGAGATGTTAACATTTCATGGAGCAGAAGCCATGCAGATTATGCAAAAAACAAATAAACAAACAAACAAAAAACAAACACAAAACCAAAGAATTTTCCTTCCACATCAACATCTAAATTTGAAAAATTTTTTGAACTATTAAAAAAAAAAAAAAAAAAAAAACCTGTCTGCTGGAAGAAAATAAAAGCCATGCACGTCAATCCAAAACATTTATTACAACTATTGTCAGTAATAATAGTTACAACGAAATCACAGATACTTCTGAAATTAACAGTTGCTATAGAAAATGAATAATATTTTATCTAAACAGTAATGCTACCAGAATCACATGGCAACAGCACAACAGTGTAGAAACCATGTCAGTATTTGATGAAGAAATTACACTGGCACCAGAATACTGTATTGTGACGTGATGTTCTAAACTATATCTGGAAGGAACAGAGAAGTATTAAAACCCATTTCCATGTCTCTGGCTACAGGAAGGGTCACAGCTTCTTTCCTCAAGTGCAGACAAATAGAGGAAATGAATCCTTCCTCCAAGGCTGCAGAGTCTTTTGGAGAACTAGAGCAAATACAGAAGTGAGAGCAGGGTGGGCTTCTTCTATGGAGTATAAATAAATAAATAAATAAATAAATAAATAAATAAAAACAGCAGGAAGAAAAAAGGTTTTTTCTTTGTACTTGGCTCACTTGAGCAAGAGAAAGCTTGCTGAATTTCTGAATTGCTTTTCATGACCTTCATTCTATTTGCTTCACGTCACATGGAGTTTACCACACAAGTTTCTTCCCTCCCTCAAAACCTGCTAAGGCAGGATATTCAGTAGTGCAGCCCCAATATGAGACTGTACAATGCAGTCAGCAACTTAGTCATTTATATACAGCTGCTAATGCATTTCTCCCAGACCACAGTACAACTACATTTAGTGAGTGCATGCTTTTTCACACAGCCAGCCACTAACGAGGTTGCTATTGGAGAATTTCAGCCAGAACAATTGTGAAACTTCAGGATTCATCCCTAAGCAGTCACAAGATGAGAGGAGTACTTTCAATTCTGCCACAGCCAACCAGAGCACTGAGAAACACACACCTTGCTAATGTTCAGGGTTGATTCATCTATGACTGTAGAGTTTTATTTACGGCTGGGTCTTAACCTCATGCCCTTATATATCATTATTAGAGATGCAGCAGACAGTATAACATGAGTGGGTTCTTCCCTGAGCAAAACTTGGCTTGAGATGTATCCTCCTGAAGGACTACCCACAGCTACTTATTTCAACCTGCACTCTGCCAGGCTTCCACTGAAAGGATTGCATTTAGCTCTTAGTGTATAAATAAGTGTTGTGCTAAATAATTAATAGCAGCTGCAGGCCATAAAAGAGGAGACTGTTCAGAAAGTTAAAACAGTCTGTCATGAAATATGCACCCACCTATGTTCTAATTTCAGAGGATGCTTTATCCACCATCCTTTCCCTGTACAAGGAACCAGCATTTTGCAAGAAAGACAAAGCTTGAGCTCTAGAGCCTAAGGGTATTCTTTAAATAAATTCATTCCCACAGGGATGATTTATCACCCCCTAAACCACCAGAGGAGAAAGAAGCAGGTGGTCATTGTTTCACAGAGAAATTTTTAGATACGACAGGAAAGCAACTGGTCACTTTTGATTTTAAAGCTCTCCGGGCTTGTTTTGTTTTGCTTTTTAATAAAGTAGTAGTTGTTTTTTAATAAAGTAAAGTTTTAATAAAGTAGGACCTTGATAGTTTTGCAAAAATGCTGATATTTTGCCTCCTTAAATCACTGATATAATGGGCAGTTTATTCATCGCCAGTCTTTTTCATTCACTTTGATTCACTTCTAGTTTTTAGGCTTCATTTGTGCCATTTAATTGGTTTCACTGTTCTACTTCAACACAGTTGTACTGTAAAAGGTGGGACATCCTGTACGCAAAGCATTTGCAGTCCATTCAGTCACAAGGTGCTGTAAAAGCCAGTAAATACCATCAGCAACTAAGGGGCCACGCTTTGAGTTGAAATAGCGCTTAAGATGGAGGAGAGGATGCTATATTGCTGGTAACTGAAAAGCAGTGATTCTGGAACAGCATAACATATGAGCTGAGTCTTATTTCCCCATACCTCATTGTTTCTAACTTACCTGTAGGGGTCCATGTGGCTATAATTCATACCAGATAAACCACATTTAAAGATCAGAATACCTCCATGCTGTGC